GGAATTTAGTCCCCCCCCCCCCATGTTTGGTACTTAGAGTAGATTAGAGCTGGAAAGGATCTCCCTCTCAAGGCTCTTTTCTCTTCCACAGGATGTGATGGTGACATTACAGGACCGTCTTTCGCTCAGGTACATTGAGCACTTTGCTCTTGTCCTTGAGTATGCCGGGCCAGAACAGAACCACAAGTTCCTGCTTCTCCAGGACAAGCAGCCCCTGGCTTATGTAAGTAACTCTTTTATCCTGGCTTTATAGCTTTGTATGTGGCCTCTACTAGAGAAGAGGACCCCAGGCACTCTTATTCTGGAAAATTCATAATGATATGTTCAGTCAGCTCCCAGAAGTCACAGTTCTCAATCGAGTTCTGTATAACCCACCTCTAGAGGACTTCTGACAATGCCCCTTGTAACCTAAAAAGGGCATGAAGATTGTTAGTTCCAGTCTCTGTGGAAAAAGTATAGGGTGGTAATTCACTGCATGGCTCCCTGAACGCCGAGTTGAAGAACATTGTCAACTGCCCTGGCTCCTCTCAGAGGCAGAAGCCTGTTAGATTTTTCTGCCTCCGAGAGGAAACTTGAGCTTCACATGAAGACTGTACTGAAAGGGCCAGCCAATGGAGCCTAGTGAGACCAGTGAGGCCGGGACAAGTGTGGGATGGGAATGGGCTGAGTGGGGCAAAGAATGGGCAGTATGTCACCCACGTCAACTTCCAAGGCAGAGTAGGAGGAAGCATCTTATCATCTTAGCCTTTGCCATATGGAAAAAGGCTGGGGAAATCCAGGATGGCTGCATAGTATTTCACCAATAGTGAAGCAGCAGAAAGAGCCAAAGAGGCAACCAGGGCCAATCAATATTCCCAGAGAGGGAGGGAAGGAGTTGGAGAGGAACGATTGGGAAGAAATGGCTAAATGAGAGTGAAACAAAAGCCAAAATCAGACGCCAAAAAAAAAGGAGAGATTTTGGAAAGGAAAGTTATTCAAGTTTATTTCTCAGCCAAATGCAATTCAAGGACTCACAAGTTCCCACCTATGAAGGGAAGATTGTGGGTGTCCTGCTTGGAGGGAGGCTTAAGAGGTCTTTTGAATCCAGTTGATCTCTTGTTCCAAATGGGATTTTGAACTTTCTTTTTTTGGGGGGGAAAAAAAACAATACTTTCAATATATACAAGAGTAGAAAGAATTATATAAGGAACCACCATTACCCAAGGCCAGTTTCAGCAGTTACTGATATATATTGCCCACTTGTTTCATCTATACCTCCAAATGGAATTTTAAATCTTTGATTTAGCTTCTAATAAACAACTTACTCTGCTTGAATCTGGGCCCCTCTGCAAGGTAGAGGCATTAGCCCCACAACAAGAAAAGAGTCATAGAAATACCCAGGAGCCCTCTCTTCCTACCCAGTATCTGGCACCTTAGACCCAATTGCCGATAAAGGCCATGTTCTGAATAAGTGATTCAAAAATTCTAGTCAATTGGGTCCGACGGGCAGAAAAGACCTGGCTCCTCATCACTTTTCTCTAAGGGTAATTGGAATTTGCCAAGTGGGATACAACACCCTTATTCTGCCCCAAGCCCCACATTGAGGAGCCACCAAGCTGTCTCCTACCAGCACAGCCATTGATTCTCAGATCTCTTTGCCTCCCATCTCTCATCCCTGGGATTCAGGTGGTGCAGCGGACACACTATCATGGAATGAAATGCCTCTTCCGAATAAGCTTCTTTCCCAAAGACCCTGTGGAGCTGCTGCGTCGGGATCCTGCTGCTTTTGAGTACCTGTACATCCAGGTAGAGTCTGATTGGGGATACAGAGACAGACAGAACAATGGGTAAAAAAACAGGCAGTGTGTTCTGCCATCACAATGAAGTCACTATGTAAGTTTTTCCAACCTCCAGATAGCTCTGAAGGCCCTTTCCTTTTCTGCTACCATTGTAGGCCATGGACAAGTTGATTGGCCTGGTGACCTGAGCTGGCTGTGGCTCAAAGTCCTGTCTGTTTAGACAGATCTCATCAATTTTCAAGAGCAAGAAACACCAATGACTCTGGCACCATCACGGAATCCCAAGATTTAACACATCCATTTGGGTAACAGGGGTTCCCAACCCCCAGTAACCAGCTCCAGTAAGGAGAAGATTCCCAATTTAGTTCATCTAGAGACATTTGCTGAGCATTTACCCTGAGCCAGGCCCTGTGCTCAATGCTGCTAATCAAGATGAACAAAGAAATGTCTGACTCTCTAGAGTTCATAGATATGTGCACAAATAAATATAAGACAGTGCGGCAGGGAGCATTGTCAGTAGTAGCATCCAGGAAGCAGTTTGCCAACTCTCCATGGGAGGGTGATAGTGAAGGCTTCACAGAGGAAGTGATGCATGCATGCTCTTAGCCTTGAAGGATGAGTGGATGTTTGCTGTGTGCAGAGATGAAGTGGAAGAGGCATATTCTACACAAAGGGACTTGCATCTGCCAAGGCTTGGTGGCATGAAACAGCACAGCATGATGTAAGAGCTGAGAATAATTTATTATGGCTGGAGTGCAGAATGTGAAGTAAGGAATGCTAAGAAATGAAATGGGAGAGACAGGCAGCAGACAGTGAAGGGCTTGATAGGTCATGACAAGCAGAGGCATTAAAATGATTTAGGACAGTCGTTCTCAAAGTGTGGTCCCTGGGCCAGCAGCAGCTGCATTAACCAGGAACTTGCAAAAAAATGCAAATTCTTGAGCCCTAGCCTAGTCCTACTGAATCAGAAACTCTGGTATTTGGTCCCAGCAGCCTGTTTTAACAAGACTTCTAGGGGATTCTGATGCCCAATAGAATCTGAGAACTACTGCTTCAGGGCAGTGGATCTTATCCAGCTGCACATTAGAATTAACTGGGAAGCTTTGCAAAAAAAAGTTCTGCCCCACCCAAGATCAAATAAATCAAAATCTATGGGAATGGGGTCCAAATATTTACATTTTCTAAATTCCTCACATAATTCTAATGTGCACCTAAAGAAATCCTGCTGTAGGGTGAGGGCATAGAAATGTTGAAAAGAGAATAGCCTGGTCAGATGAGCAATTTTGAAAGACCGAATGGTGCTGAGGAGGTACACCAGCTAGGGAGTTATCAAAGTGGTCCAGAGGAGAAATGATGGGGGCTGGAATCAGGGCAGTGATGGAGGGGTTGGGGTGGGTTGCAAGAGGTATTTAAAAGGTAAAATCAATGGCTTTGACTCCATGAGTGGTAAAAGTAGTATCATTCCCCAAGTTAGGGAATATAGGTAGTAGAATGGGTTTGAGGAAAAGATGAGTTCATTTGGGGACATATTGAGTTTTAGGTACCCATAGCACATACAGAATGCTTGATGAGAGGGGGGGGGAATCCCTCAAAACACATCTCTGATGATGTCTCTGATGGAAATGTGCTATAAGACATCATGGTTGTCCTTGCTGCCCCTTCTGACAACCTAAAATGTTAGGAATGTTTCTCAAACAGCCTTAGGTTCCTTTACCTGCACTTTAGGGGGCAAGGAGTTGTGGTTCCTCTATGAATTTCATAAGTTTAGTTCTCATTTTATTTGCCCTATGTTTCTTCATTCAAGCTTCCGGAGATCATCTTTGTTCAAATATTTTGAAATTTGGTGACAAAACATGTCCACCCTCTCTCTCCCTTTTGTGATGATATGGACTTCAGCTGTATTCTTTCCTTTTTAAAAAATCTTTTTTAAGAATATTTTTAAAATTTATTTTTCAGTTATAGTTGACATACAATATTATATTAGTTTCAGGTGTACAACATAGTGAGTAGGCATTTATATACCTTACGAAGTGATCACCCTGAAAAGTGCAGTACCCATCTGGCACTGTACATAGTTATTATATTAGTATTATTGACTATATTCATTCTTTTAATATTAAACAGCTTTATTGAAGTCTAACTGACACATAAAAAACTACACATATTTAAAATGTACAATTTGATAAGTTTTGACATACGGTTATACCCATGAAACCATCACCACAGTAAAGATACTGAATTTATCCGTTACCCCCAAAGGTTTACTCAAGCTCCTTTGTATTTCATCTCCCCATCTCCAGGCAACAACTGAACTGCTTTCTGTCAATATAGATTAGTTTGCATTTTCTAAAGTTTTATATAAATGAAATTGTACAGTATATATACTTATTTTAGTCTGACTTCTTTCAGTCAGCATAGTGATTTTAAGATCCACCCATGTTGTGTGTATCAGTACTTCATTCCTTTTTATTGTTGAGTGGTATTCCATAGTATGGATGTACCAAAATTTGAAAAAAAAAAATATTGATTTTTTTTTTAGAGAGAGAGGGGAAGAGGGAGAGAGAAATATCAATTTGTTGCTTCACTTATTTATGCACTCATTGGCTGATTCTTGTATGTGCCCTGATCAGGGATCAAACTTACAACCTTGATGTATGGGGATGAGGCTGTAACCAACAGAGCTACCTGGCCAGAGCTAGATGTACAAGAATTTGTTTATCAGTTCACCTGCTCATAGATATTTGGGTTAGTTCAAGGTTTTAGCTATGAGCAAAAGAAAAAAAGCTTCTATGAATATTCATGTACAAGTCTTTGTATGACATATACTTTCTTTTCCCTTGCGTAAATACCTAAGAATGGAATGGTTTGATCATATGGTAGATCTACCTTTCTTTAACTTCTTAAAGAAGTTCCAGCCCAGATGGCATGGCTCAGTGGTTGAGTGTCGACCTATGAACCATGAGGTTATGGTTGGATTCCTGGTTAGGGCACATGCCTGGGTTTTGGGCTCGATCCTCAGTGTGGGGTGTGCAGGAGGCAGCCGATCAATGACTCTCTCTCATCATTGATGTTTCTATCTCTCTCCCCTTCTCCCTTCCTCTCTCTGAAATCAATAAAAACATTTTTTTAAAAAAAGAAATTCCAATACTGTTTTCCAAAGTGGCTGTACCATTTCAGATTCCCACCAACCATGTATAAGAGTACCAGTTTCTCCGCATCCTCATCAGCACTTGCTCTTGTCAGTATTTTTTTATTTTATTTTAATCATTGTAATAGTGTACAGTGGTATTTCATTGTGGTTTTCATTTGCATTTCCGTAATGACTAATGATTTTAAATGTCTTTTCATGTGCTTATTTGCCACCCTGTGTCTTTTTTGGTGAAGTGTCTGTTCAAATCTTTTGCCCATTTTTTTTTTTTTTTTTTTTT